TCACTAGTAGATGAACCCACCGAATGTAGCCCAAAGGTCGTTGGAAGCTCCTAACAATGTTGGTGACCTTCCTGATGACCATTTGCTATGTTCCATCGGTCTCAAAGGTTCCTGTATAGTCATTAATTTATTGTCTGGATTAATGGGTTATAGACTTACAGGATGTCAATGTGGAATCCACCAAGTCTATTGGAGAATATGGTGGTGGTATGACTCTAAGTTGCAACAGTCGTATTGGCGCTGATATTGTTCAAAGCAGCGGAGTTGGTGAATTTTGGATTAGCAAGGCTAGCAAGGGCTAGTGACTCTTCGTTTCCATCACAACTTGCTATCTCTCTATAGGGTCATGCTATGAGAATAGCGGGGCTAGCAAGGGCTAGCGGCTCTTTAGCGGCATAGTAGCTAATACCGCCTGTAGGAAGCGTGGGACGCTACGGAAAAATCAAGCACCGTTGGCAGATTTCGTGATGTATGGTGGTTGTCCCGCCGCGAAAAAGTGACTTCGAAATATACAAAGTTCACTCTTCCTGGGACACTGAGGATTTCTGGACATAGGAACGGCCCCGATCGAAACTGGCTATGAGGGCAGAGCCAACCCGCCTCGGAAGTCCGAGCTTGAAAACCAAGAGTACATAAGCAGATACTCCACGATGTAAACAGTAGGACATACCGTCCAGTAACCCTACAAGCCGATCTAAGCTTCCCAATCTACGCCCGTATAGTTGCTCCAGCGAGGCTGCATCGTATGCCGGTGATAAGAGATTCGGAGAGACCGAAGATGAGTTCGGGTATCGCAAGTCTCACCTTAGCCTTTCTGAGGCCTAATATTAATTAATTACGATTATCTGGCTTACCAAATTTGTAGACGTAATATGATTAGCGAAATTAGCATTCTTTTTATACCCGCAAAAGATCTATAGAAATTCGTAGAGCCTGACGTCGTTCACTTCTTCCTTCTCGAATCTCAAGCAATCCTAGATCTGTAATTTAATGTAACCGTCTCTGCACATACGGTGGTTGTTAAGATTTAACGGTTATCGAAAGATGATCAAGAGGGGTGCAAGAAGGTGCCTTATGACATATGATATTGCGGGGGATACGGATTACTTCTCAGAGATGGATTCATAAAGGCGACGATAAGGTTGCATGAAATGTGTGTTTTTGAATACATTACAGTGTCATAAGATTATACAGAGTCATACTAAAAAAGAATAATTAATTATGGAGTAGATATGGATATCATTGAAATAAATAACACATTAACTCCCAAGTAGCAACCTCTATGCATAATTAAACCGCCCATCTCACCATATGCACCACGACCAAAATCGTCATCAAGAATCCTGGTAATTGAACGCCCACTGCCCCACTCGGTTTGGGAGGGTCGAGCAACAACGCCTGATTCCCAATCGTTGAATTCAAACAGTCCGAGAACGTCTGGTTCCAAAAGGTCGGTAATTTCGTATCCGGCGTATTAGAATTATTAGAAAATAAGGCGGAGTTATTATATTCGTCGAAGCTGAGTGCGATGGAGCTAGAACGATAATATTGAATGATTTGTTCGGGTTTTGGTGCAGAGGTGTTAAATGGTGTGGCGGTTATATTTTGAGATGAGGGTGAACAAGAGGAAATTATGGCGGGTATTAAGGCCGTGACGGTTTCGTTGTCGGCAAGGAGGCGGTAGATAAAACTGGAGTTGGAGTTGGGAGCTTGGAAGGGCGCCGTGAAAAGGGCGCCGCCGGGGCGGGTGGAGTTTGTTGGGTCGCCATACTAGAATAATATTAATATTATGGTGCGGATGGATGAATGGCTGGAGACGTACTTCGGTACTATTTATTTGATTTTCGATAGCGGACCCAGTGAGATTGCCGAAGGTGACGGGCCAGAAGCCGAATGGGAAGCCACGGCCGGTTACACTTGAGGTGGTTTGACCTGGGTATCCGCTTCCGTATTGTCTGGATAATAATAATTTTAAAGTAAGAAACAGTAAGAATTTGTTGAAGGAAGACGAACCTAGTCCCATAAATCTGAGCTCGCGTGCCGCCACCAATTTGCCTACCAGCAAACACCTGTCCAGAGGGAATTGTCGAACTCTTCGTTGTCCCCATACTCGATGCACTTGCCGTTCCAGAACGGATGGGAACGAGCGTATTTGAACTTCCACTTGATGAGGGCTCGCTGCCTTCTTCCGACCCTTCTTCTGAGCTTCCGACAGTGCTGCCCCCCGAACTTCCTTCTTCGCCTTCTTCGCCCGTCTCCTCGCCCGCCTCCTCGCCTGCTTCGCTGCCTTCGCTCCTAATTGATGGCTTGGCGCTTTCGCTTCTGATGCCACCATTACCACTAGTCGTACCTATAGCACGACACACGCGTTAGCTTCGACTTAAAGAAACGGCCACGACCAAAGGGAATGAATCTACACACTTGTTCGTCGTTCGACGGTTGATCGGCCGAAAGGGACATACATGATATTTTCGATATTAGGAGGGTCTGAGGTCGTTAGAGGGGTTGGTTCGGTGCTGAGTCCTCACGAAAAAGTCGCGGTTATGAATTAGGGCTTTGGGAATCGCCTTGGCAGTGGAATATGGGCAGTGTCGAGGCAGTGTAGATTGCCGAACAGCAGCAACCGACGCGGGACTCGGAGACACTTGTGCAGGTGGAGTCTGTGTAGTAGCTTGATATCGAGTTGAGATAGACCGGTACTGTAGATTAGTATCATTTATTCAAGATTTTATAATGAATAAGTTCTCCATGTGAGCAAATACCGGTGTATGCAAGTCAAGTCCTGCCCGGGAAGGCTATGCGATTTATATCAGTAAAACGTGTCGCGCGCGCTGAACTTTGCATAGCGTTAGGTAGCACTAGGCTGCACTAGGTAATGGCGGATTCGCTAATCGACGCTAGGAGTCGGTATATAGACTATATACCACCGCCTATCGCTCCTAGCACAGGCGCTAAAACGGATTCAGTGTCAACTTCCCTAATGGCCTAATACTCCCACAGTAAACGTAATATAAATTAAATCGAACTTAGTCTCTAAGGTGGCCGGAACGTGAGACTGCTATCAGCAGTGCGCGTGTGGCATTTCAAATTACAGCCCGAGGTTCCTTTGAGCAATAAATTTCGAACTTTGCATTGTCTTATGCTACTGGAACAAACCGAACTGCTTATTCGAGCGAGGGATAGGTGAAATATTCCCACATTAAATTTAAATCCAATCTCGTCTCTCTAAGTTGGTTGGGACATGAAGCTGCTATTAATAACCAATGCGGACAGTGCACCTCCAGGCATTTGTCGTTTACATCTGAGTCTTTTAGTCAATAAGTATGGGAAGTTTCTAAACATTACCTCATTCGTTGGGAGAAAGGAACTGATTCTTCGAGTGGTGATACTCCCCACATTAGATTTAAATCCAGCGCAGTCTCTAAGACGGCCGCCACCGGGACGTGAAGCTACCAATGATAAATACTTCGAGCAGTGCACTTCTGGCATTTCAAATTCTTCGTTTAAATCTTTACATCCCCAGACTCCTTTAGGCAATAGTCAAGTACGCGAAGTTTCTGAGCATTGCCTCATGACATTGGAATAAGGCAATGCTCAGAAAATCTGCTTCCAGCGGTGTGTTGGCAACTCGGATGGGTTTATGGGAGATCGCTGGGAAATTCGCACTGCCTTATGCCAATTGTTTTGCCAGTGGAACGAACTGCTTCGGTCGACGTACTAATAGGGAGTGGATTTATTTTAAGAAAAGGATGGTTGGATGGTATATTTAATTCTAGTCGGTGCGAAGTTATTTTCGTTGATCAAGCGGGTCGTAATATTGATGTTGGTAAATATTGTATTCTAGTGGTGTATTAGGTATTAATGCACATTGATTCGCTTTAATGGGTACATGCGTGGTGAGGATGATATTTCGGCCCCCTTGCTTGAGGCTGTATTCGATTTGGAATAAGATCTGGCATTGTCAGTAACCTCCGATATTGGAAGGCTGCCGTCAGTTGCAGCCTCACTGGGTGTCTCGGTCCAGGGATTGATAGGACCGATGTATATTCCTCGAGAACACTGAGAGAAGTTACATGGAGATGACGGTAAGAGTAAACGATAATGAAAATGCTACTGCGCATCTATGGTTATGTCGTCGAAGCGGAACCTAATGTGTGTGTAAGTAAGCCGGCAGGCTTACAGATATGGCCTATGTCGACGGGTTTATCAAACCAATGGCATGAGTTATGACCATTTAATAAAGTAAGTAAATAGTACCGTAAGGACTATTCACATATTTTGAATCATTCCTGCAAGTAATTCATGATTGAATGAATCATACAAAGTAATAATTTGTAAAAATAAAAAGCATAATATTCAAGCGTACATACATAGGATTAAATCATCTTACGCTGACTTCCTCGAAAACAAAACCTCTTGTTGAACCTTGCCAACTAAATACGTATATGTGCCCTAGTAACGGTGGTGTTCTTAGCAAGTCCATCTGGACAGTAATCTCACTTGGGGCTGTATCATAGGAAAATAAAATAAAGTGCAAAAAGAATGTACTAAAGGAAAATTAAACCCCTGGCTGGTCGATTATGCGCATGGCAACGACTAAAGTCACCACTACCCCATTAATGCCATTGTGAGACATCAACGATTGGTGGGTCTAACGGGAATGGCAGGTATTTTACGATAATGAAATAGTCAACCTTGAGCCAAAGAGGACTCGAAGCGGGTCTGTGAGAACATTTAATCGAAGTGCTAGCACATGGTGGTCTGGAACAAATTCGATTAGAGCCTTCAAAATCTCAGTGGATAATTTAAATCACTAGCCATGAATTAAAACCGTGATTTGAAGGTCGGTGATAGCGTTTTGGTAGATCGGTGAGTGAGTAATATTAAAGGTAAGTGAAATCGACGTCGGAAAGCCTCCATCTAAATATATTAACTTGAACCTATCATCACAGCGCACTCTCCACGTTAGTGCAATAATGACCACCTGACCTAGGTTTGTTGGCCTGGTGGTCTAGAGGTATGATTCCTTCTTAGGGTTCTCTAATCGTTTGGAGGAGGTCCCGGGTTCAATTCCCGGCTAGGCCCTTTTGCGTCCCCGAGGTAAGATTTAATCATCATAGAGTGGTGTACTGGTATGTATTCCATTTTTTGTGAGTCTGGATGGAAGATCGATCATAATTTTAATTTTGCCACGTTGTACAGTACTGCTGAGTGTTAATAGTTACGCACTTATGCCAATACATATTCCCTGGATATACCATAGTATCCTCCTGGCTCCCAGTTGCTCGATTACCTTCCGTCGTCATCCTCTTACAGTGAATACATCGAGAGTCCGACACCAGGCATAGTATAATGTCCTAGATGCTTTATATCGGTTTGGTAGTTCAGTTGGCGGAACGTTTGCTTTACATTGAGTACGCAAAAGGTCGTCGGTTCAAGGCCGGCCCAAATCATTTCTTTTGATTCTTTTTGCTTTTTCGTCGCCAGCCACTTTTCAAGTTGATTCGGTGGTTTGCTGATGAAGTCATGTTCTAAATTCGATTGTCTAGCAAACCCACGGATGGGGTTTATGAATTAAACTGAATGGGAATATCTAGCGAGACGACAGTGAAATTGACCTTGGTGGATGGATAAATCTCTAGGTCTATGGGTGACTATGAGCGATGGATTTAGTCTCGAGTCCAGCCCTTTCCTTTTCGGTATTTCCTTCCGAGTGTTTGATTGGCTACGCTGACATCAAACGCCGAGGTTCTCCGAAGGTCTGGCTCTTTTCGTCTTGTGCACACCGGCGTCTCATATACAACCACAATGTTATTCATCTTTAGAGCCTTTATTTACTATCCAATTAGTCCCAAGTGCGAATATTCTTGCTTCAAAAGCACTATGAAAAGTATTTAAGTAGCTGAAGTGGGCTCAATACAAAGATTTTCGAGTGTATGATTTTATTTTGTTGCAAGGACTTGGGGACGACGGTGTACAAGACGAATAGTGCCAGACCTCTTACGGAATTCGTCGTTGTGATATTTAAGCGCAGCCAATCACTCTTAGCAAAGAAATCCGGATTGAGGTTTGGTCCCGAGGCTAGATGGATTAATGATATAGATTACTTACTTATTCAATTATTATACCGCGTCACGACGATACATTTAATCGGCACAGCTCGCAAGTCTTGGCGCATTGGATTATTAACCTTCCTTGCGCAGAATATTAATAACGACTAATTGACTCACGAAATTCGCAAGCGTGATGCGACGTTGAACGTTGAACGATGGACTTTTGAAATGGTTCTTCCGATATCTACAAATGAAAATACACGAGCTTTGAATGCTTGGCGTCCTGGTTCTTTCTAGAATATATCTAGACCTAGGATATAGTGCCTTCGTACCTTCCAAATAACGGAGGTAATGAGATACGTACCCATTGAATGACGAGACCGGCAGAAAGGTGGATTGCATTCGAGATGCGACGCTGTTTGGACGTCGTTCGCGAGTTTCCCTGAAGATTTTTCCGAGGATGGAACTTTAGGGTGGGGTGTGGATAACAAACGGAATGCAGATGGCAGTGGGAGATGGAAGATGGATTTCGTGGATGGATCTTGATTGAGGCGGTTTATGAGTGAGTAAATATATACTGATAATATCAATGATACTCACGTATTCGATTATGCTATAGTGGAGGACAGATTTATTATATAAGGCATATCTCGTATGCCTTGCTTTACGGCATTCGTCTCTTCGATTTCTTGATGCCTAAGTAATGATGGCTGGCTGATTGAATCGACTACTCACCACCTTCCCAAAAATCACATTAATCATAAATCATCGAAATATCATTCTTCCTCTAAAGTATCTTCAGCAAATCGATATATCTATGTCTACAGGAATTCTCCTCAGAGTCGGAGTCAACACCTGCACAGCGACCCCACAGTGGATCTTCGTATGCACCACCTGTTACAAGTTCGGAGATGATCGAGATAAGAAAAAAGAACTCTATTTGGGATCAATTTCATTTTGAAGGTACGTTAGCAGGCAGGATACGATGTGATGCTCGCCTAAATCATTTCTTTTATTATTATTTTGCATCGTAATCGCCGGTCGGGGTTTGATTCGGTTGTGTCGTGAGTTCTTTTGAAAGTGGGAAAAAGATTTATGAATAGAGTGCGGATTGGATTGGATTAGAAACGCTGGTAGGGATTACGTAGGAATAGAACATCAGTGGCGACTCGGAGACGGTAATAGGGTTTGGGGGATGGGGGAATGTTGAGGCGGTTTATGAGTGGGTACTATCGATGAAATGATGACATAGTAATATTAGGTACTCACGTATCGATTTCTTTTCCCGGCTCATGGTGTAAATAATTATTCCAATCAGCACAGCTCGTAAGTCCCACTCTGTCGCATTCGATTCTTAGCCTTCCTGTTAGCTACTTACTATTATATAAGGACTAATTAAGGCAACTCACTAAACTTGCAGGCGAAATTTAACCGTTTGTTGAGACCTTCCTCAATTTTCCTATATCGCCAAATCGGCCCACACGAAGTCTTAAAGTTTGATACCATTCTCTCTGGTCGAATATCGAATGGTCTAGGTAGTGGCTTCGTTACGGTACCTTTTCAAGATTTCATTTCCAGCCTTAGTGCGCAAAGGAATGGCTAATATGTGGATCGCATAGAATAGGAAACGCACTGCGGATAGGGTGGAAATGGGTGGTGGGTGGCGAGTCTCGAACGGGAATGAATTTTGCTGGATTTAGTGGATGGATGAGGATATTTAGGAGTTCGTGTAATCCCACAATTGAAGATATTACTGCTACTCACTTATTCAATTAGGCTCCCGTGTGACAATTTATTTCAATCCACGCAGATCGTAAGTGACGGTCCACTGCATCCGATTTTTAGCCTTCCTCCTGCTACTATTTATCGCGACGGAAGGATTCACCCAATCCGGAGGCGTGACACGAAGTTTAATCCTTGAACCCGGAAATCTCTTCCGATATTCCTAAATGAATAGCTATGCGTTCTGCACGGTCGAAGTCGAATATGGTCCTATAAGGTATGGCTTCACAATATTAGCGTTACTCACATATTCGATCATTCCTGTGATGTATTTCAACCTACACATTTCGTAGACCTCACTTCTCCGCAGTTGAGTCATAACCTTCCCCACGCCTAGTATAAATGATTAATTAAGCCGACTCACCACCTTCTCAAAGGATTACATACCTCATCTAAACGCCATCGTAACTCCTATAAGCAGCCTTAAATCGATGTAGAGTCAAAGCTTAAAATGATATCAAGATCTTCTCAGGCTATCGAATCGAATAACCACACTGGTAGACCCTGAGGCTGTGGAATATCGCATCAGATCTTCCTTCATACGTCAATGATGATGTCGTCGTGCACTGCCTATGTTGAGAATTCGGAGGTAAACCAATTTAAAATAAGGAGTCTATCTGGTATGGTATTAATTTCGCTTCGAACTTGGGTTGGCAGGAAGGAGATGCGTGTGAGATGTGACGCTGTTCGCCTTCTTTGTCCATTTTTCTAACGCCTTTAATGATTTTCAGCTGATGAGTTCGGGGGGAAAGCCTGATAAGGAGCGTGGTAATTGCATGGGTGGCACCGCGCGAGTTTTTGGTAGATGGATGGATCTTGGGGCGATTTATGAGTAAGTAGATGTGGATCGATGATATTACTGTCACTCACGTATTCGATTATATCCCCGGGCCGTGGCGTAAATATTTATTGTAATCAATCGACACAACTGAGGCCGCTAGACTTATAATTACCATATTCGTAAAGACTAATTGAGTCGACTCAGATTTCTCGCCAGTGGATGTCTTGAGGCTGTATGAGTATGAGCAAGTAGATATGCATTGATGATATTACTGGTACTCACGTATTATGGGATCTTACTTCCGTACCTGCCTAACGACTTATCACTCTTGACTTGAAGTCTGGGACCCTTTTGCCCCTCGTTTCCCTGATTGCTAATGTTATTGATTGACTCACTAAGAGGTTCACGGGTAAGTCACATATCTTATTAAACATCGAAACGAAATAATAATTCTTCCCGTGACTAAAAGTATCAGCGAATTGATCTATCTGAGTCGTCAAGATGGGGTTTCTTCGTGCAGTACCCTGTAGTTAGATCATAATAAGTATAAGTAAAAAAATTAACCGTAAGCCTTACCTTATTATCATAGTATTTCTCCACTGTTCGTAGAAGTAACGACTCCTTATATATATTATAGGTGAGTTTATCGAGAGGATCGTCCGATATTCTCTGGCAGGTACCAATTTATATTCCTGTCGATCAAACGAGGTCCGGGGGCAACAATGATGTCAGAAGACCTTGTGGAGCTACTTCTAAAGGCTCCAGGGTAACTGGGTTTAAAATGGTAGAGAAGATAAGTGATGCCGTGGATTCGTGTTCGTTTTGAGGCGAGCGCGAAACGGAGGAGGGCATGCATGAAGGAGTCGTTGTGGAGTCGTTTGCGAGTCGTCGAGAGTTGATCGCATGTCAGTGTGGGCCTGCTAAGTGAGTGAAGTAGTACTAAGGTCAAGATAAGATGCAAGTGTGCCGTACGTACTTGGCACTGGGCAGCTTGAAGTTGGAGACACGAATTTCTCGAGCTGTCTTTCGTCTAACTTTCGGTATCGATTTGTTGAACTTTGTGAATATAGGCATAAGCGCAAAGATAAGGAATTCCTAAGTTTGAAGTAAATAAGTATCACATATATGCAACGACGTAGGCAGTCGTGCGGTGGGCACTGGACCAGTGCCCACCGCACGACTGATTCGAGATAGGGTGCCGTCGTTCGCGAGTTTCCTTGAAGATTTTTCCGAGGCTTGGAAGTCGGTGCATGGATGGATGGCCTTCAGGCGGTTTATGAGTAGGTATAATCGATAAATTAATGAATTGACGGTACTCAAGTATCTGAATATGTCTTGGCGTAACGATTTAATACTCAACGGCATATCTCGTAAGTCTATGGTCGCTTTATCGCTTTTGATTCATAGCCTTCCTAACGGCTACTTAATATTAGGGACCGATTGAATCGACTGGCCAAATTAACGGGAAGTTACATACCTCATCGAAACTTCCTTTTTTCCATATCCTCAAATCGGTCTATATTGAGTCTTAAAGCCTGAGTGATGTTGTCGAATATCGCAGGTAGATATTCGTACGTGCTGTTCCGAAGCCTATTCGGAAGAAAACGAGGAGGAGGTAAGTCTATCTAGTATCAATTTCGAAGGCTCTTTAGCATAGCAGAAAGGAGATGTTTATGGGATATGATGGTGCTCACCTAAAGCATTTCTTTTATTACTTTTCTTTTTCATCCAGTGCCGCGTTCTTGTTTTACTGTGAGTAGATTTTGTGTTCTGAAAGTGCGGAGAAGTTTTATAAGTGTGGTGTGAATTGGATTGGAAACGCAAGGACGGGAATTAA